ACACAAGAAGCTAGAGGATGGAATCAGAGGGGAGGAGGTGATGTGTAAGAACGGAGAGGCAATGATAAATTAGGAAATGGGGGTAGATGGAAGAAAAAAAACAGGAGAAGAGGATATGAGTACAAAAATAGGAGGGGGAAGATGACAAAAGGAGCCGGAAGAAAGAAGAATAAAAAGATAAAGGAGAATAGCATGGGGAAGAGTGATGAAATAAAACAAAAAAAAATCCAATAGAAGAGAAGGGAGAGGAAGAAACAAACAACCACAGCCATGACTGGAGGAAGAGGGGGGTCAGAACGATTGGAAGTTTGGAAGCAGGATTGATGCCTGTTTTATTCACTCACAACTAATGCTTCTTTAATTATCGCAGCTGAAATCATCAGTCAAGTAGGATGACTGTGTGTGTGTGTGTGTGTGTGTGTGTATGTGTGTGTGTGTGTGTGTGTGTGTGAGAGATAAACCATCAATTATCTAGTAGGGAGACATAAGGGAGGCTGGCCAAAGTGAGAAGCCAAAGAATTTTGTGCATCTACATGGAAATCAATCCCATCATTTATAAGTTTATCAGGTATATATATATATATGTATATATATATATATATATATATATATATATATATATATATATATATATATAATTATTTATTTTTTTTACTTTATGTAGGAAAAAAATACACAAAATTTGCTTTGTTTTATATAATTCATGTTAATGTGTTATTAAAGTATTTTGTAGACCCCTATAAACTTGGTCCAAATTCTGTCCTAGATTTAAACAAAATAATTCAAAGAAAAAGGTCAAAAGTTTGATTTTATATCAGACTTAAATAAAAAGTTTCAGTTCTGGTATTGGTAAGCGCTGAACCAAACTATAAAGTATCGCACACTGATTACCTCTCCAGTGTGCTGACCAGAATGATCAGTTCTTATTTGACATTACCAAACCAGTCTTACCATGCTGGAGGACAACAATGGGCCGATAACCAGACATAGCTACAGCAACCCTAGTCCTGTTGCTATGGCACTGATTGTTGGCCAAGCAGTCTGAGGCTATTTGTAACGTACACACCTGCTTCTGGGCAGGCAAAAGACAAGCATAAGCTCAAATATGTTAATACTGTTTTATAAAAGCGATAGCATTTTGTTCAGTGGGTCCTTCTTTAAGTTCACATTCACAGAGTCTGGCTCATTTTCATGCAGAAAATGAGCATGTCACATCAATGACGTAAAAGTCAGATAAAAAACGACCTGACCGTTCAGATGGCAGACGCTTTGAAAACTATCACATATATATATCCAAATTAGTACCACATACGGAAGTGGCCCAGATCGGATGCTTTGGGGGGATGAATGATCGGAATTGGGCCGTTCAGACTGCAGTGAAAAAGTCACTTTTGGGCAAGAAAACAAAAATCAGGTTTGAGTTTCATTTGCCTGCTTTGTGAACGTAATCTTAGTTTTTGACATAAGCGCTCCAGGGTTTAACTCCCACCATTAATCTCTTCCTATTTCCTGTACATAAGCTCCACTGATGACAAAAAACGTGAAGGAAAAACTCGACTGTTCAACTGTAGTAGCTCACTTAATGAATGAAATGTCATGGTTTGGGCTAACTTTGCTCTGTGCCATTTGGTACAGATCCAAACAATGAATGAATTTCCACTCTTATTTTATTTTCTACTTTCTGTTTGTAGTAGAACACTTTGTTCTCTGGGGACGCAAACACAAAAGATACTATTAGGATCTGCAGAAGATATCAAAGCCAAGGAGGACAGAACAGACTATGTTACAAAAACATATAATATCTTTCTGATGGTAAGCATTGGCTGCTATGAAATTCTCATGATGCAATAATGAGTAAAAACAAACTAAGAAACTAAGAAGCTCGAAGAAAATGATCGGCTCAGCCAAGACGGCATATGTAGAGGTTGGTCCAGAATTATTCTTACACTTGGCAGATTTTGATTTACATATATTTATATTGAATCAAGAGTTTTGTTTCTGATTAAAGCATTGTCACCCTGTACTTCATACAGCAGTATAAAACACTCAAACACTTTGTATGGTGTCTAATTAAAGTAAGTGTAGACACAAGGAATAATATTATGGACCATTTTAGAGGATTTGAAACCTTGGTGTACTGTCAATCCAGTCTATGCCTCCCTTGTAGTAGAGCTAAACAATAAATCCATAACAATGTATATAGCCATAGACGCATGATCAATATCAATAGATATGTCTGATAGAATATTCGCTGAACTCCAATCCAGAACTACACAGGATTCTGGGGGACGCAGGCAGAGGAAAGACTTTAGCCATTTAACCTCTCACGGCAAAACTGGTGGCATCAACTAACTCAACTCGCTCTTTGGTTACCTAGCAACAAGTCGTTGAGTAACTTGCCCAGCAGCAGTTTCAGATTTCATCATCTTGCCTCATAATTGCTTAAAAATGTAACAGCGTGGATAAAATGAGAAAGCTTCAGATATTTAAAATAAAAAAAACCTAATCCATAATTATCAATATCGACTGATATGAAACGTGTGGTATCGTGGTTTGTTTTTCAGCCATATCGTCCAGGTCTAACGAATGATGCGCTGCATTTGATTTCTCATGTGGATTTTGACTTTCTAATCAAAAATATAGCAAGAATATCCAATATATTTGGACTTCTGCCAAAACAAAAAATACAACAAAATTTTGAGTAGCCTAACCTCAGCATCTAAAAAATTGCCAGTACAAGCTTCTTATAATGCTTCTCTCAGTCTGTAAAATAGAAAACCATGACACAGTTATCCCTATTCTTACTTATAGTCCTTTATCGTCAGTAACAGTTAGCGTTACAACAGTTAGCAAATCCCACCGGTCTTTTTGCAACCAGAACACGTAAAGTCAGATATGACTTCTGATGCAGATCAAATCTTCCAAAACAGAAAGCTGCGACACTGGGTGTTACACGAGTTGCAGTTTGCATTTCTGTCACTAGGTGTGGATATAAGTGCTTTTTTATGTTTGGTCAAGCAAGTTATTAGGTTTAAGGTGAAGGAAAATCTACACGTAAAAGTATGTTTAGCCGACTCAAACTCAATCCTTCCATTGTGTTTTCTAACAAGTCATGAAAAGAAGGTAATTCATTTTGCTCACCTCTTTAAGAGGTACGGTGTCCCATAGACTGTAATCAGTTCACACAAATCCTTAGTGGAGCGGCTACTTTGTGCAGCAGCTACTGCTTTATGCTTTCGGTCGCTGTGCATCGACTGCAATCAGCCCGTACGTTATACTACCTACGTTCTCCTTGCTGCATCCCCCTTCCCTGCTGAGTGCAGGGGAAAGGAGGGCTTGCATACATTATGCCTTCTTTTGTTCTTTGCTGTCAGTTCATTGTCAAACAAAAAGAAAAGGAAAAAATAGAGAGCACAGAGTAAAAACAGGGGTGTAGAGGACAAGTAGGTCTTACTGTGACACCAGCCCTGGTTAGGTAGAAGAGATGGGCTTCACCGACTCCTCTCCTCTCCTCTCCTCTCCTCTCCTCTCCTCTCCTTGTTTGTTCTTATCTTTCATTTTCTGTCTAAACTCAGGTGCTGCTTATCTTATCCCACCCCTACAACTCCCTCCCCATTCCACTTATCTGTCTCTGTCTTGTCACAACTCAGAGTCTGACATATGAACACACACTCACTGCTTCAACCTGGCACCCCCCTCCCATTCTCCTATCATTCTTCATTTTTTTCCCCCCTCTGCCACATCATGTCTTCCCGCCGCCTATCTAGCACTGCCTGAGGCAGCTAGTGGGCTGTGACCTATCCTATCACTGCTCCTGGATCAGGCCTGTCATACGTACATGTGGCAGGTAGACAGACAGGTGGGCAGACAGACGGGGCGGTTGGAAACTTGTCGGCTTCAGATCCGTATCTCAACTCCAGCCTGAGATTCTTAATCCGTCCACGGGAGGTGAAACGGAGCGATCCATACGGCTTAAGCCGCCTGGAATCTTTTACAAAGTTTGACTGTTCAGAAGCGATTTATCGGTTTCAAGTCATCACAGCTCATCCCATGTTTATTGGCAGTTTGTCTTACAGGTGAAATTCGCTTTAGACATTAAGGATGTCCTTTTCTGTCCTGTGGGAATTCGTGCCTGCAGGATTTGGCGGGCTTTGCCGATTGGTTTTTCCACCGTCTGTTTAATTCCGATGCATTAAAGCAATCTTTTAAACTTTTCACTTTATTTTCATTCCCTTATATGTTGAGTGCAGTAGCTGCTGGCAGCAGCAGGAGGGAGGGAGGATAGCAAGGCTGCATGTGCCGAGCGCTTCGTCCTGATTTAGAACCAGATCTATTTCTGTTCGCCCTCCAACCCCGCCGGGAAATTTTCAAATCTGCCACGGACAAGCATGTGTGTGTGCGTGTCGGGGGGGATGGAGAGGGTAGTGAAAAAGAGAGCAACAAAGATAGGGGTTGAAAGAAGCGAAGAGAGATCGTTTAATGTATAAATCATTTCTGTGAAAATTCGTAATTAGCACGCAAGAGCCGGCCTAAGAACTGGAATTCCAATTAAGTCCCTGAAGTGAAATGTGTTAGAGTCAGGATGGACAGGGGGGGTTGGAGACGGAATAAAGAGATGAGAAAGTGGGGAAAAATCAGGCGGACGCTTCGCGGGCTCCAAGTAGAACGATCTGGTCGGGGAAAAAGATTCAAGCTGTGGTCAGTCATTCTTAACCAGAGCACGTACTAACTGAGCCAGGCTCACCCTGTGGCACCAACTCCAACACACACACACACATGCACACACACACACACACACACACACACACACACACGGAATTGACACCAACAAAATCTTAGCTCCATATCTACTCCAAATGTCACCAGTGCCACCTTTGACCCGCACTGCTAATGCTAACTCCTTCCACCGCTGTCACTAGTTCCGCACACAAACTTCCTGAGGTAACGAGACCAGAGGAGGAAAACTTGTGGAACAAAACGGACGACAAACAAACACTCACCTCCAAGCCGCCGCTGTGTCTGTCCGATCGGCTGAATCCTCACACTCACACATGCACTTGTGGTGAGTGCCCACACATGTGCACGCTTCACAGCAAAGTGTGTGCGTGTGTGTGTGTGTGTGTGCGTGTGTGTGTGTGTTTGTGTGTGAGGCTGGACTCGATGGAGCTGTGCAGTAGGAGTATGAGCGTGAGGAGGATGAGGAAGAGGAGGAGGGAGATGTATGGTTGGGCGGGAAGGTGGAGAGAATGGAGAGAAGAAAAGACTGTGAATTATACGGCATGAGATTCTGAACAGAGTGCTGACAAAACTGCCGGATACGCCAGGAACACGTTAGAGTCCCCATTTTGTTAATTGTGTGTAGGAAAATGTCTACAGCAGACAATCTGATTGGTTCTTTTTGGTGAGTTTGCGTTAGGTCTCTGAGACTTGGCATCTAGCCTCCGAGTGAGGCGGAGCGAAAAGCCTCCCATTCATGCCCTAATCTCCTCCAACAGGCCACATGTGGCCAGCATGGCAACACATCCCAGGTTTTCCCACTTCAACACCTCCGCTGCGTCTTCTTCATCCTCGCCTCAACAAGTCTCTTCATTGTTTTAAGTCAAACAGATGAGTTCACTTGGGAAACTCGCAGAAATAAATCCTTACAAGCTGGCGAGTGAAAATGAAATTTCACCAATGCGGCAAATATCTCAGAGGATGTCTGAATTTTTTTTTTTTCTAATTAGCTAAACATTGGTACTTTCTTTACCAAAACCAGCAAATATTTTTTCTTTAACCTTTAATCGCAATATTTTACCTACAATATAGAACGTCCGGTCGGTTTGACCAGTCATTACCCGGATTTTTCAATTTCCTCCTAATCTATTTCCATTTTCTACCCACGCATCTAAGCATTATATTTCAGTATATTTATTTGGTTAGCTATTTTTGATCACTTAATGAGATAAATTATCATAAATATATTTTAAATTTCTTGTTTTTCACCAATTGTGGTTCCAGTCCTGGTTTGATTTGTCTGCTCTCCCGCAGTATGAGAGACCATGACCTTCAGATACACGATAGGTAACATTTATCCATATCGCATAACCACATTTTGGTACTGAAGAGTATGAACAATAAACAGAAAAAAATGGAACAATCAAATTTAGTGGAAAACATTCCCCTTGGAATTTTCTTGCTTGCATGTGAGAAAGTTGTTTCTGATTAAAAAAAAAAATAAAAAAAAAACTGCCAAAGTACCAAAAGGTCAAAGTGGGAAACCGACATAAATGTGGATGCAAGAATGATTTTCACCTTCTTTAGCCACACAAAACAAGCAAAACGATATTTAAACCACGTACAACTTTGAAAAGTCAGAGCAAACCCACTACGCCTGGGTCGTCTTTGGAACATAACCCACATAACCACATCAGAACATTTCTGCAGAAACTTTCAACTCTAGCGTTGAGATAAAATACACAACACAGAGCACCACTGCACACATACTCCGCTCCAGGTGTGTGTGTGCGTGTGTGTGTGTAATTGTGCCTCTGTCCTCTGGCTTCGGCAGAGAAAAGCCAATCTCCACGTCCAATTATTTGCCTCTCAAAGGCAGACAGATGGGGGGAGCCCGGAGAATACAGCACATGGGGTTCAAGGGAGAATTAGTTAGACTTACAGAAAGTGAAAGACAGAGGGATTCTTTGAGGGTCTGCACAGGGGGGAATTAATTAGAATGAAAAAAGGAATAGTGGGGAGGTTGAGGAGGAGGAGGAGGAAAGGCTCGTCTTCGCCCAAGTCCTGGAAATGGCTTCACAATTAGTCAAAGTCCCAAACAGAGCCTGTGGACAAACTGGAGCTGCAGCTGCAGAGCGGGAGATGAACACCCGAATGGAGAACGCCGAAAGCGACAGAAGAAAGCGCCGAAGTTGTTAAAGAGACATGATTGGCAAGAGAACGTCATAAATATATATTTTTTTCTTTCATTGTGAGTCTTCGTACCCTCTCGAGGCGATCGCTGCCTGTCCCGTTTTCTCAGCCCCGTTAATCTTCTCCTCTCCTCTCCTTTCTTCTGCTCCCTCCTTCCGCGCGCCGCCGTCCGGGATATTCCATCAAAGGAGGCTCCGGCTGGAGGCGGACGGTGGCGTCGCCGGGCTCCACACGCGCTCCACACTTTGCTGTCTTCTTCCTCTTCGTCTCTTTCACTTGTCGACTGGAGCATGTTTCTTTCTTCTCTGTGGTGGTGACACATGGTGTGTGTAGTGTGTGTGTGGTGGTGGTGGTGATGGAGGGCAAGGAGGAGTGAAAGGAAGGACTCAGGACAGAATAAATGAAATGAATAAATAAGGGTTAAAAACCGAGGGAGGGAAGAGCAGCAAGTGTGGGCAGATGGAGCGGCGAACGGGGAATGACGGGAAGAGGCAGGTGGAATGGGTAGTGACACATCGCGGAGGTGTGTGTCTGCGTGTGTGAGTTGTGTCAGAGCACGGGGGCCGTCCCTCCAGCCGACACACCACCGACAAGGAGGAGGAGGAGGAGGAGGAGGAGGAAGAGGAGGCGGTGAGGTAACGGAGGAGGACCGGATGGATGGATGGAATTCTGGGGATGGAGGGACTGATTCAACAAGCCTCCTCCTCTTCTCGGTCCATTCACACACAAAAACTCTCCACTTTGCCCAGTTCATTATCATTCACTGGATTTCACGACGACATGCATGGCTAAACTACCCACAGAGAATCTTAATAGAAAGAATGGAGGGAGGAGGACGGGGTGTGTTAGACCAGCAGGTGTCCCCTCTACGTCTATTGTTCCCACCGACTGTGTGTCCATGGAAGTGAGTCTTTGTGTCCTGTGTGTGTGTCCCTGTGTGTTTGCGTGTACGTTTTCACAAGATGGAGCATGGGCTCTTCTTAGAGGGGGGTGAAGAAGCTGGAAAGCTGAACACTTGTTCAAGGAGGCTAGACGAAAACTTCTTGAATCGAATGGGGAAAGGGAGAAAAGATCTCCGGCGCTCTGTGGCAGCTCAGATGTGCTTTTTTTAAAAAAAATGTTTTTTTAGCGTCTCTCAGGTCATTTCGCAAAGTCAAAATCATTTCGTCGATGAGTACTCTGCGAGATTCACTTAGACGCTTTGTTTTCCTCATTCAGACTGCACAGCTTGAGAGAAAATCAAGCGAAGAATCCAGGTTGTCAGATGTTAAAAACTTAATTACTGTAACTCCACAAAGAACGCTTTGTATTTCAAGACAGGTGATTATGTTTTTTTATGTAATCACTTCAGGCAGATCAGAGTTCAGTGGTGTACTTGAAGCAAGTCTTTACATATAATTCAACACAATTTAATCAAATTATTGTCCATTGTGTACTATATATAGGCATATATATATATATATAAAAATTATTCATTTGACACAATACCTGGAATTGGTTAGAAGAGGTGGTAGATGGACATGATAGGTGTTGCGTTTCAATTGCTAATGTGCACAAATCTTATTCCGTCTGTATTTTGAAAATTTTTAAAATACACAATTTTGCAATTGTGGTGTTTCCATTAATATAAGAAACACAAAGTAATTTGTGAATAAATTTTCTCACACGATAAGTTCTTAACCCTTGTGTGTGCGAGGACTGAGGCAACCGTAGAAGACTGTGACAAATTATACAAGTTTTACAGGTGTGGGGTCGGTTGGACCCCATTTGTAAAGACAAGGGTTAAAAGATATGCCGCGCCATAATCCTCCAACTACTTCCTGTCTTTTTTCTTCTTCGTGGTTTGCACCAGTGGCCTGGTTGTTGATTATGAATGTGACTCGTGTGATGCATCGCAGTTTTGCGATATAAAGCGATATCGATACGACCAAAAAACCGTGCCTCTAGCCAAAACTTATTTAATTTTTATTTTTTGAAATTGTCACATTTTCATTGAGCAGATTTATTTTAAAAATATCAAATTATATGGTTAACGGAAGCACAACAACTCACGTCCTTTCAGGTTTACTCACAAATTCTCCATAGGACGTAGATCAGGACTTTGTGACGGCCATGATAAAACATTGACTTTGAAAATATTCTGCCTTCATTATTTTGTGGTGAAAGTTGTTTGATTGTTTTAATCAGTTACATTATTTATTTGCTTAGAACGTTAATATGCTCATCTGCTCTTTAGCTACAGAGTGACATTATGAAATGTCAGAGTAAGCCATGCTGAAAATGTTAATGTGATTTAATTGTTGAAAACTGCTTGGAAAAATTGGACTGCTGCTATGTTTTCACACATCAACGTGGCAGTAACTACAACACGCTTTGATTCTTTGCAGTTATTTCAAGATCAGAGCGACCAATCAAAGCAAGTCATTGTGTTGTGTCGGTCCACTTTAATGAGATTACATAGCTGGCAGCCAAGCAGCAATTAAGTGGAATCAATTAATTTAGGTGGCAAAATGCGCTCTGAAAGCTTTTGTTAAGTATCCATTAAAGACTGTAAGTGTGCTTCACTTGTGATTGGCTTCCCTCACCTCCACCTTTTCCTGATCTTGATGAAACGTCCACACTTAGGATTTCCACTTTTGCTCAGCAGTAAGGGAAAGAAATCACAAATTTTGATTTTAAAAATTAATCATCCAAATGTGATTCTTATTTTTATTCTGCTTTTTTATACATTGCTTGCATTGTGTGAATTTTTGTGCTGTATGACTTTTTCCATCCATCCTTCCATTATCTTACACACTTATTAGGGCTGTAGTGATACAATAATCTCATGATACGATATGATACAAGATATTCTGCTCACGATACGATATATATTGTGATATTCAACAAATGATGCAATTCAATACACTTTTGCGATTTTCTGAAAGATTTTAGAGGGACAGAGTGATTTTAGAGACATTTTGTGACTGCTATAGACTTGGATTGAATTAATTTAACTGAAAACTGATTAAAAGCACCAACTACACAATACCTGGGTCTGGTTGGGCATGGACACAGACTTAAAGTCGACAGCTGGACAAAATGAATCAAAGAAGTGGTGAGAAAACATGTTTCTTTTAATTGAAACAGCGCAAACTGTAGCTTACATGCATTTGTAAAGTAAATAAAGTGCACCAAGTACCCTGCTCTGAATAGTTTGACACCTTTTAACCTTGACACTTAACATCTGAAGGAATCACTCTAAGCCTGATGACCTAATCACTCTCCCAGCGAAGCAAGCAGTGAGTGAGCAAGGGGACAGTTGGACGTTACGATACTTGCGGATGAATATCGATGTTTTTCTAGGAAAGAAAATATCGCAAAATCGATATTATTACACAGCCCTAACACTTATCCCCTTCCTGTTCAGGTCGCCAGTCCACCGCAATATATGACTTTTTATTTGTAACCTGATGTGTTTTTTTTTTAAATGAAAGACTATTTTTATAAACTTTTATTATTCTCTTTTTTGATGGCGTAGGCTTGTTAATTTGTCTGTATTGCACTGTAATGTATTATATGTATATTGATTGTACCCTGAAGGATTTCAGATGAAAACTGGCCTTTATGACTAACTCTTCTTTTTTTAAATGTTTTTTTTAATAAATAAACAACCCAAGGTTAGTTTTAATGGCTTATTGAACAAAATCTGTATGTCATTTAATCCATTATCTTAAAAGAATTGCTTGAGGTATTGTTTCATATGCTGTGTAATTTATGTGTTAATGTCTTGATTTATACATTTGATTCATGAGGATGGTAACTTATAACAGAAGTCAAAGCAGCTGTTTGTGTGTGTGGACCAATCTGTTTTACGCAAAGACTCATAAATATTTGCTTGTTGAATTATAATCAGTCTAAAATCCAACAGAGATCATTTTACCTGCAGTGAAGTCTCAGACCGGCATCCGGGCAGACATGAAAGCAAAGTTAGTCTAAACTAGACAAGAGATTATTTTTGGCTTCACACGAATACCGTAGAGAGGAAAACATGGGAGAGATTTGTTTGGCAACAATCACAAATTAGAAGCTTAATTATACGTCACTTTCCTGATGTTGTTTTAATCCTTCCTGCATTATTTCCTTCATCCTGTTATCTCCATTTCATTAACTTCTTTTTCCATTATCATAATCCAACTTTAAGTCTTTTGGAAATCATTTTCATAAACACATTCAATCACAAATAAATTGTATTCCTGATTCCCATCCAAAATATTTTTTTATGCTCAAGTAATCAGGCAGTTGGTTTTCATCATGCATGGAGTTCTGGATATAGCTGCACAGTATGATGAAGGGACAGACATAAGCCATTTCTGGTGGCCAAACATTGACTTATAGATTGAGGAAAGGGCCAAAAGCTGCTCATGTTGTCACAAACTCTAAAGCAATCTGTGCATAGCTCCTCTCCACCACTGGGTGTTCACACTTCAGCCACGGCATTGTGTTGATAACGAGTCTGCAGGGCCTTTAGAGGACACAGTGTTTCCTTTAACTGTCGATGCGCACAGTAAAAGGCCTGAAGTGGCGGTCAGGGAGGGAACCTTCAGGGAGTCAGGAGAAATGTTTAGTTGGTTTTGGATGTCCACTTGCAGGTAGTCCTGTTTCCATTTAACTGTCATGCAGATTTTTTAGCAAACTTTAAAAGAAAAAAAAAAAAGGAAATGTGAATTAGTTTTTTCTTTCTAGTTGTTTGGAGCCAATCAAGCGGGCTATGCAAAGAGTTACTTGCTACGTTTGGCTATAACAAACAGGAAGTAAGGGTTGCAATCTATTACGAACCACAAGTCAGGAAAAATGGAGGAGATTTGGATTTTCTCTGAGTTTGGTGCCTCTGGTAAGGCACTGATCCACCAGTGGAAGGAGTTCACTACGTCAGAAAACATGTTTCCATCTCCCTTTTAATGCACTAACTCTTTTTCAGAAAAGCCGATAACCACCTCAAGCCGATGACCACCTCATAAAAGCAACAACTTTTATGAAACTGAAGTTATTTCAACTTTTGCAATGTCCATCAACCTTTCCTAATGCGATACTTTATAATGTACAGAAAAAGAAACGTTAATGGAAACACGGTTAGTTTTCCTGAAAGCCAAGAAATTGTGACACATGACATCTGCTCCATACCATCCAGCAACCTGTGGCTTCACCGACCAGTTTGCCCAAACGATGAAAGATGCAAGAAATGCATTGCAATACGAAGGAACGCTCCGTCAATTCTACACCGTTAGCTGTTCAACTAATACAAGGGGCAACCAAAAACACATCTGTAATCAAATCACTTTTTTAGGGAGAAATAAAAAACAGACTTTAACGTGAAGAATTGTGAAAGAACTGAATATTTAATGGGGCGTTTTCCCGTAAACATCAATAAAATGTTCTGCTATCTAATGAGATACGTGAGGTATAATGCTGATCAGATGTAATGTTTTACTGGACTCTAAGTTTATGAGTATTCAACTATATGGCAGTGCTTTGAGGCTGGCCTTTTCCTGAAAGCCTGAATCCAGGAAGACGCAACAAGTTCAGTCATGAATTAATTTTCCAGCCTTACATTGAGTTCTGACTCGAAGGACTTTGTTTTTACAGAGAAAAAGTTAACGAAAAAGTTCAAATTCGTGACAGTTTGACTGAGGCATGCGGATTTCAACCAACTGAAATAGACAAAAAGGCTTTTAGAGCTTTTTGTTTGAGGTAAGAGGTGCAATTTCATGCAGCGCTACAATAGCACGACCACAGCTGCGCCACTCGGGAGCTCGGCACACGCTGGCTTGTTTTGGAGCCACTAAATTACCAAACAGGTGCAAGAGCAAATAATCCAACTTCATCCCAGCAAACATGGCAATGGTTGCACTGTCACATCTCTCGCTCTCCCAGGAAGAACATGCATGCTGGAACGTAAGCGTATGGGTTTTAATTTACAGACAGGATCTGGAGTAAATTAAAGACTTGTTTACTGGGATACAGTATACCATATCCACCAAAACCTAAAGGTCATCCACAGAGAAAACAAGAAAAACAACATCAGAGGCTTTTTTTGTACACAGCATGTGTCTGAAAAAGTGAAAAAAATCTCCTCCGCTGTTTCTAAAAAGGTCACATCTCCTCTCTGCGTGTGTTATTGTACTGAGTCAACATCTCCTCCTTGGTCGTGTACGCTGAGTCTAATATGGATCATAGAGCTGGCATATGTGTGTGGATCTTATTGAGCTTTACATTTCACACACTTTGAACACTGCCATGTGGGTAGCATATGGGTTTTTACCGACGGGTGATGAAGAGGAGTTTGTGCCGTCACCTGGAAACGGAAGGAACATTAAGACCGACAACGAACAGAGGCGTGGGGA